CGCCGCTTTATCACTCGCCGGCCTGTTTTTAGTGGCGCCGGAACTCGCGATGCAGGCCGAGGCCACTCGGGGGCGAAAGGCGGGGTGGTTTTTCCTCTCGAAACACTAGTCGTGAGATAGAACGGCGCGGGAATAAAATAATCGTATCAACGTCGATTACGTGGGGTTTATGAACGCGCCATTGTTTTGCGGCTAAAGTCGCCAATTGAGCGTCTGGAAAATGTAAGGAAAGGGGGGGGGGGCGAAATTAAGGGCGGGACATTTTTTCACTTGACTACGATTTTTATAAATTTGTAAATTTCGCTAACGCAACGGCGATAAATTCTCGTGCGTCTGCGGTTTTACAATTGTTATCGTTTGAAAATCGTGGAAAATCACACGACTATTAAGACACCCCGTATATCACCGGGCTCGCCGAGCACCGTGCGGCAGCGGCAGCTGCCCGTTATTTCTTCCAGGCTTCTATTGTGCGATTCGCGATAACAATAATTAGGATTATTATTTCACGGCGGGAGTTTCGAACGGGAATTGTAGTTTTCGGGTGGAAGACTTCGTCCCCATCTCCTCTAAGGATCTTTCTTTGGCGGCTTAGAGGACGGCTTTAATTGAGCCTCTCCAGGCCTCTCGCAGATGGTGACTTTATTATCGACATTCAGTATAATTAAGTCGGTCTAAGCGGCGGGAAGGGAGCAGATCCCTTCCGACTTTCTGTCGTAATCTACAAGTACTGGAACGGAAACGGCCCGTCTTTCAGTGACGTTTCTCGTTGGACCAAAGACATGGCCTTAAAAAGAATAAGTGCAGAGAAAATAAACATGGCGTAACTAGGGCGAGAAATACGGCATGAAAAGATATGCTATTTTATTTTACGTATTTAGTTGCAGTTCACATTTGGAGATGTTGCGTGTAATTAAGTAATGCAAATTCTTCATTTCATACACTTGCAACGCGAATCCTGCGAAACGTGCGAATAATTTTCCGCAAAAATAACGGGAGCTTCAGCGTACCGCGCAGTTAGTATCCCGTAATTCTGACATGAGCATAATATTATAATTTTAATTAGGGACTAGTTAATACGCTCGTCATATACATTAGTAAATATTTAGTGGCATACGTTCCTTGTGTACGCGGGACTGTTTATTTCGATATTAATTCATGCAGCTCGGTCGTGCAGATGATTCGTAACTAAAATAAGATGATGACAACTATACTTGGTTATTAATTTACGCCGTATTCTCGAGAGCGCTGCTAATGGCCGTGACGCGATATAATGGAGAATCTTGGCGAGGTCGAGAGATTTATCACAAATCCGAAGAGTTTATTACGGAAGAGGTGGAATATTATCCCGCGGCATAATTAGCCGCGCGCGAGATTCACCGGCGTTTTCGCACCAGCGTCAAATATAACCGGATGGACCTCTCCGGTTGCCGGGGGGGGGGGGGTGGGGGGCCNACGTTTGACTTTCGTTTCGATAAGCGGCAAATAAAATTAGATCTCGCGAGAGCGCCCTCGAGCCGGCGGGAAATTTCTTTCGCGGCGGCCTGATGGGATTCCAGGAATCTCTCAATATCGCGTGTCTCTCGCGGAAGACGCATGGTTTCGATAAAAAGGATTGCATCGGGAGAGGGGAAGCGCGGTCCCGGGAATTCCTTCGGAAAAAAAGGATGGAAACGGGAGGCGGGGGAGGAAAGGAAATAAGAGCGAGGAGCGTCGGTGCGAATTTATGTTTCGCACGCATGGAAATTTATGGGCCGCTAATTGGAGGGGTGGGATCGGCATCAAGGTGAAAAGATGGGAAACGGAGATGGAAACGCGGCGCGAGAGGCCGGGGATATATGCCGCGCAACTTTTAGGATTAATTCCCGGATAAAATGACCGGCCGCACGCCATCCTCGCGGGCAGATCCGATGGGAGGGGAAACGGCCGTCAGTTAACGTTTGTCAGGTTGATTAATTAGCGAATGGCGAACTTTCCTTCTCCTCGCGTCTTTCTCGCGTTTCTCTCTCGACGCGTCGGGATATGTCGAGATTAATTTTTCCGTCTTGGGAAAGCGCGGCGATCTCGGGACATTACATATCGGGACGTGAATTTTGTCAAATCGATTTATTTATACCCTTAGCCGTAATCCGATGAAACGGGGAAGTGGTCGGCGCTGGCGTTTGCGGCGAATTATTTATATTGCAAGCAAGTGCATGATTAAAAATCGGACAGCTATACTTTAATTACCTTTAACATTTATTCGTTCTCCTTTGGTTTATTCCCGACATCCCCAGTCGCGCTCATTCATTTTAATCGGTCTATCCCGCTTAATCCCGACGTCCAGTTTTTCCGTGAAAAATTTACTGCAGTATAGCTGGAAACACTTGTACCCTATCAACAACATTGGAACACGGGCGCCGGAAACCGCTTTGAATCTGTGCGGAAGCTCGACTAAACCGCGAGCGAGTAAGCACGATGCGAACTTGAATAAAATTGGCTCGTAAAATTATTAGCGGACACGGTCGGCGGTAATAATATCCGCCGTGTTTGCGACGAAGCCCCAATCTACTTTACATCTCAATTAAACGAACACGCACGATGCGCGCCGGGGTGTAACTGAATTAACGTGTAAAAACTAACGCTCGGGGGCTGGCGTCGAATACGGAAGCGATGTTACGGACGATGGTCGGTCGGTGTGAAGAAACGGGGGCGCGATGAGGCGAGGTTTAGAACGCTCGTAAACTCCGCGTAAGATCTAACGCGCGCAGCGAAGGAAACACCGGCCATTTAACTATTCATTTAGCCTCGTCCGCGAGAAACAACTTTTTACATAAAGCAAGATTCGCACGTCGCTGCTACTAGCTAGCGCGGTAGCTTTTTGAGAAATTTAAAATACACCTGAAAGTGTTCTATATCGCGAAGCACTTTTTTGTATGTGCGATATATCTCTTTCTTCCGGACCTCTTCTTTTTTCCCTCCTTGAAATGCATGTTGAGACGTTCAACGTAATTGCGAGGTTAAGGGGATCCTCAAGCCGTCTGTTTTATCGACACTCTTTGTTAGAAGTAATCTTTTAATTGGTTTTATAAAAATACAAAACTCTTTTACGGAATTAAAACACGCGGCAAAATCTAGACTGTGCTGGTCGACTTTATATTAAATATCTGTCAACGTAAAATGGTGTAACTTATATGGTTTTGCATAAAGCAACATGAAATTCATTCTTGCACACATATTTATAGGGAAATTTTTTGCGATAATCAAATAATTAGCCCGCTACTTGCACTAAGAATTTAGTTATCCGGTAACTCTGCGCGAACTAGGAAGCGAGACGATTTTTCCGTCGTCGTCGCCGAGGAAATTTCGTTAGGATACTCAACTCGAGAGAAGTTATTTTTACGAAGTCAGATTTAGGAGCCTCGCTCGGGCGGGTGCCGCGCTTTAATCTACATCGAAATTCTAATGTGGCGCGTTTCTTTAGCATTTTATGCTAATGCCCGCCGCGTCGTACCCCTTAAAGTTCACTTTGACAGCTTTACCGTAAGCGGCAGCTGATGAAAACGGTGACGGTCCGCGGGACGCATTTCTCACGTGCGAAAGATAGGAAAAATGAACCTCCGTCAAATTTCCAGCGCTTTGTTCTTAAATTAACCGACGGTTTTTCCCCAAGTAGTTATATATTTAAAAAAATTTTTTTTTAATAACATTTCTCAAATATTTTGAATAAAAAAATTGTTTGCTAAGAGATAGATAGTGGCTTGAACAAGGGATATTTATATTTTCCGTCACTTGTTCAACGCTCATTTACTCGTCTAGTTGAAGTGTAATATCAAGTCAAATATAATCATATTTTTAACTTGCGTTAATTATCCTGTAAAAATTGGTAAGACAGGATCTTCCAAACCGATTGTTGTAGAACTTGTAGCAGAATTCTTATCGCTACGATTTCTTTTCCAATCCACTTCTTTTTCAATCTAATATCAGGGTCGAACTTACCGGGTGTTTCACTCGGCGAGACTCGGGAAGACACGGTTCCTTTTAATAACCCAGCAGCGCCATCGTCCATTATACGGCTCTCACTTACAAAGTATAATGTCTCCTCGTTTTTACACTCAGTATGCGTCCAATTTTAATACTCTTGCATCCATTTTCGTTTGCTCTCCCGCATTTCTCTCCGTTTTTTCTTCTGACGCTCGCTCTTTCTGCTTCTCGCCTTCAAAGAAATCATTTTCTATTCCGCTTCATCACGCTCAGCAGACACGCCGAGAGAGAATTTCCGTGATCTGTATATCGTGCGAGGAAGGAGGATCATGCATCGCATCGAAGTCAGTAAGGTCATCCATGATGTATTCTTTAAGTCAGGGAATTTCCCATTTTTTTCATTTCCTCGGCACAGTTGATTCTTTTCAATAATATTATTTCATGCAGAATATAACATGATGTACAAAAGAATGCTTACGTATAAAAGAAACTCTCATTTGTATCATAATTTGAAGATAAAGTCAAAGTGTTTGTTATTTCCAGGCGAACTTTTTTACTCCTCTGCAATATAAACGTTCCAATGCCAAACGCTGCAAATAATTTTCTGCACTTTTGTTAAACGACAAAAATTTCGTCGATACTTGTTTCATTAACGACTTAAATTTCTTTGGTACTGACGATTGTACCAAAAAAGTCAGAACGTTCGCGTGTCCCATCGTCGCTTTCAGAGACCTTGATCTGTGCTGGATTAAAATAGCCGTATCGATTATGATTCCTATTATACTATCATTCAATATAATTGAAGGCTATTTTACATATACTTCTTTTATTATTATATATGGCTGCCATTGTTATTATTATCTAAGAATTAGACAATCGGTAAAGTGCGCCTTCAGTTATTGGTGCAAAGTCCTAGAAATACGAAAGGGCCAAATTTTGGTGACCATCCATTTGTGAAAATGTCGTTGGAAACCTCGATCGTAATCAGCACGTTTTTCGAAGTCTGCTTAATTTGTTTCCTCTCTGCTTCTCTGTTACAGAATTCGAACAACCAGGTCGCGATCGCCGGGCAAAATCAAGTGTCAGGTGCTGGCGAGACTCAGGGCGGACCCAACACCGTACTCCGAGTCATCGTGGAGCACCTGCTCTACCCGATCACCCTCGACATACTCTATCAGGTGAGTGGTAGCGAGCCACCCGGTACGTGACGGCCGGCTCATTTATTATTTCTTCGTTTTATATTGAAAGCGGTCGCAGTCGGTACGCTGAATGCAGTATCGCGTGTAATGCAACGATGAATTATATACATATTCAAGTACGTACGCGTATATATGTTAGGAGAGGATGGAAATTTTTCACGAGTTTCTACGTGACTGCGGCGCGTGTTGCAGGAATTTTTTGGAGAATTTTTTATCGGTTCAGATTCGAGAGTCCCGCGCGAACTGCCGTAAAATTATGAAAACAAAGAGAGAAAAAGGACCCGGCGCGCAAACTGTGTGTTTGCGTGTTGCCCGACGAAGGGAAAGTGTGTCCCTAATTCGGAGATACGCCGGGAAACGAAAGGGCTAACGTAATTTAACTTCGACGGATGTCGTCGCCGAAAAATGTCGCGCGCGCACCGGGAGTTGAATTAGTCGAATTTCGCAGACAATCCCGCGGTCGTTAACTCGCTCACGGATATTTGATCAACGTTTACAAGTCGAGCGTGAATTCCGCTTGATTAATCCGCGCGGCGCGCGGAGTTGCGGCCGCGGCGAAGTTACATCGCGCTTTACATATTGAGTGCCTCGTCGCGAGGCGGCTACCCCGGCGACTGTTTGCAGTTTTAAAATTGAATATACGCCGGTAGCCACGCCGAGATAACTGAATTCTAAATAATTGATTGTTAAAATTATAGAATAATCTCCTCGCAGTACGCGACAGCGGGAGTTGTCGGTGTTGCTCGGCGCACAGCGATAGACGTTGCGCGACGTCCGTAGGACGCCAGAATTGCACTCGTCGCGGAATCAGACACTTTGTTATTGAAATACTTGCAAGATATTGAGTTAAGTCGAAGCAATTCTAGGCATCGCGTCGAGGGCAGATTCGCGTAAATACGTCTTCTCGCGAATGTATTTCGACCATTCGAACCGCGCGTCGACTATTTTCATCATCGAAATTCGCCGCGCTAGCAAAGCGCCTCGGTGCGACAAAAATTATCTTTCCCACTTTGCACCGTAATACCACCACTTGTAGTGGACATTTGTCAGAAATGAAAAAAATTGTGTTATGCAAATCAAACCCAAGCTATCGATCGGGTGTACTGCCAAGTTGATCGGATCGGTCATTTTGGAGATCCGATAATCTAAGGGTCTCAACTCGTGCACTCGCGTAAAGATACACGTTCGGTCTCGCACGCTCAGTTTCCGCTACGCTTATACTTGGCGCGAGACGCTGCCGTGTCTCTTGATTCTAAAAACTTTTGCATTTGCACGAATTTCTTCGTCTTTCCCATTCGTACGGAGAAGAAGCGACAGACGATGAAATGAAAAGTTTACCGATTAATAATCAAATGGACGAAAGGAAGCTTGGCCGGCGAAAGTAATGCCTCTTTGTCTTAAGCCGAAGAGGAAGTGGACGCGTCATCCATCGCGACTCGTGACTTTTTTATTATTTGCACGTGTAATTTCCTCGCTCGTGAAAATAAAACACTTTGTAATCTTGCGAGGGCGCGCTAATGCACAAGACGGCGCGCTATTTTCCTCCCAGCAGGAAAACAAAGGAGCAAATATCGCTGGTCATTATTAAGGGTGGGCGAGGCCTTATCCCTGAGGATACCGGATAACAGGATAACCGGAGTGCTTCCGGTCGGGGTTGAGTGGCCCATGCATTTTTAAACGTGCTCAATAGCGCCGCGAATAATATCCTCGATGATGGTGTACGTGCACGAAGGCCGTACTTTCTCCCTCAAGTCCGCGAAAACAGGATGTTTACGCTTGTTGCACCGTCCACAGTCGCGCGATATATCGGTTTTTTTTACACCAATAAAACGAGCAGCGTCCAATCGACCAAATTTTTTTTCTAATAAACTTTTATTTTCGCTGGTGACAAATTTGTATTGGCTCATTGCGAGTAAGCGCGACGACAATTTAAAACTGCCGAGGGAAGTATGCGTGTGAACAATTATTTTGTAAAACGGACGCGCAATACAGTTTGTCTCATTGGCGGCATTTGAAAAATTGTCGAGAAATGTAGCTCGCAAATTACAAATATATTCCGAATCTACTGAAACGTTGGGCCCCGCGTTACGTGTCGTCGAGCCGATCGCAGGGAGGATCGTTGCCTTTCTCCGAGTGTCTTGGAGAAATTGCGATTGCAAGGTGGCGTGTAAGGAAACTATCTTTAACACTATCGATTTATCCAGAGCGTCTGGCATACAGGGTGGCGTTTTCTTTTTTTCTCGCGTGGAATCAGGTCGTTGCGGAGCGGAGAGAGTAGCGCGGCAGCCGCGCTAAGCCGATAATGGACCGGGCAGAAAACATTCCCGGATTACCAATCGACGATTGGCTGGCTACGTTCGGCTGTGTAAGTAGGCTTACACCGACGGTTTTGGCAGCAGCGGAACTGGATTTGTGTCCGGCTGTTCGCGACTTGTAATCAGCTCGAAAGATTAACCCGCGTCAAAGCCAGCCGTCTGGAGCTTACTTATTGCTCAGACGGATTCTTCGATCTGCACGAGTGTCATATGATTTGTGCTAAAAAGAGAATCCCGTCATAAGGACTGACACTTATCTCGCGAAATCCGGATATGATCAATTTTAGTTTGAAAATACAAGCCAGGGAAATAAACGTTCACTCGATTTTCACCACGCGATCCGGTGCGGGAGAATTACAAATTAAAATCCTTATAATCGTTTATATAAGCTTGAATGTTTACGTTTTAATTATTTTATGTTACGGTGTCTTTGGAAATTTTAATAACGCGAATAAGTTTATCGGATACAATTTGTGTACGCTGCGCGCCGAAGTCTGACGAAAGCTTGACTTATTCTACTGCACGGTGCTCCCGAGAAAAAGTTGAAGTGCCTTCTTTTTCCAAAAGAGACTAAGTACCCCCTTGATTTGTTTTTTTTTGGTCATTTATATATATTTTTATGTTTTCTGTATATTTATATATTATTCCGTTATTTAATGTTACACAATTTAAAAGGTTTTATGGCAACTATATGATATAAATTATGTACAGATATTTACGAGAGTGCATTTACATCTAAATATGTTCCTAAAAATCACACACAAAACGCACTGCGATGCGCGTTTCACTGTTAATTCTATTATTCGCTTTTTTTTTACAACGGAGAGAGCTTCATGAAATTTCCATGTGTCTCCCTGGATTTCTCCCGACTTGGCTGAAACAGTCGCAAATGCGGTTTCTCCAGTTCTCGCGCCCTGGACTTCGATTGTTTCTTCCGGCCGAATTGAATTTTAACTTCGTTCTTTATTTGTTCCCGCTTTGTTGCTCGGTCGCTGCGACCTTCTCGCGCGATTAACCGACCGCCTCCGGCGGCGAAGCCAATTTACGTGGCGGCGGTGGTGTTTCTTCCACCCTCTCGCGTCTCCCCACCTTAGAAATCCTCCTCCGATATTTAACTTTACGGTCTCCCGAGCCGAGGCGGTTAAATGCCGCGAAAAGTCCGCCCTTGCGGAGCGGAAACTTCTCGCGCGACCCCCGCGGGAAGGGAAGAAAAGGTTGCGTCCCGGGGGATTGTAAGAAAGGGGTGCAGGTGTTTAGGTGCGTACTCTCGGTGCGGGGACCAGTGCGCGGGTGCTCTGAAAACTTGGTAATCCAGCCGATGCCATTAATCGACGTTTCTTACGCCGGAAAATTCTTAATGATCCGTGAGCAAAGATGTCGCGCAGGAAGAAGAAACGATTGGACTTTCTTTGCAGAGTTCTTTCCTAATTTAGAGATCTCGAATTAACGATAATAACGAATCGTAGTACAAGCTCTCTAGAGCTAAGCAGATTAATTAAACGGCATTATTATTTTGCGATTTTGTATTCAGTATTAGATTGAATATTTTATGCTATTGTTGTGTATTAATATTTATATTATTAATATATTCTGTTGACATTATTCGGCGAATAATGCCAATAATACACGAGCTGTGTAACGAAAGCGCACGCTGTCTGCGGTATCCGATTAACCGTTTAGCAAAATCTGCTCTATATTAATTTCATCCTCCGCCGTATGAAACCGGAAAGCTCAAGTGCACGATAGGTGGCTCTGAGAATTCTTCTATAAATCCGATTACATGGTCGGTGGATGCGAAAACCCGTGAAGCGATAGCGACACGAGCGAGCCGTTTCTACGCGGTAATTTCTGCCGTGCGTCTTCTTTCCACGATACGCCAGGCGGGTGCATCGCGCATTTTTCCACCCCCCCCCCCCCTTCCCAGCTGCCAGCCGCGAAACCCCGCGGGGTCTGAGGGCGCGCGTCGAAGCTTGAACGTAAAACCGGTCGTAACGCTCGCGGATACGCGCGGAGCGTAAAGGGAAAGACGGCGGGCTTTTAACATTTACGTCCCGGTTAAATGGTCCGGCAACTCCGCCGGGGCGCACGACGACATAAACTGCCGCTGCTGAGGCCCAGTCTGCCACCTGGGACGCTCTAAATCTCGTCTTATTAAGGCCCGTGCCGGTCTGAAATGAGAGTCTGAGCGACATCATCGGCGCCGAACGAAGGGTGATTTCGCAAAACGCGTCAGGTTTGATTATCCTTTCATTCTTTTTTTTCTTTAAAGCCGCCAATCGAGGCATCTTAATAAAAGGTTTCTTTAGAATAGGTAGATCGTAGATCTAACGTAACTCTTTGAGTTTCGCATTTATTTTCACATCTGACTTTCTCTTTATTTGCAACGATTCTCCCGACTTTCTAATCTTCAAAAATCCTCAGTTTAGCTCAATCCCTCTTACAAACAAGTTACAGTTCCGTAAAGCTTTTTATTGAACATATGCTAAACGTAAGTTAAATACCATTAATTCCAAACTGAAATTATTCTGCTCTTTTTTTGTCGTTACACGTCTAGTTTCCTCCTTTCCCTTTTAAAACGTTTAAACTACAGATTTGCACCCAACAACATAATTTTGATGTGATTGCTCATATACAACCGTTTACCATAAGAGGTGAATTACCGTC